GCTGCTGCTGCTGCTGCTGCTGCCGGAGGTCGCAGCTACCGCAGCCGTTGGCTGATGCACCGGCAGCACACCCCTGTAGCAGCAGCATCAGCAGCAGCCGCAGCAGCAGCAGCAGCAGGAGCAGAGTCTGCTGCAGCAGCAGCAACGCTGCTGCTGCAGTATTGGGAGACGCAGCTGCTGCTGTGCTCAGTTCCTGCTGCTTACATCGATTTGGAATGTCGCCGCTGGTTAGCGTTGCTGCACCCTGAAGAAAGCCGCATGCAGCTGTCTTCTGCTGCTGCTGCTGCTGCTGCTGCAGCAGCAGCAGCAACAAGTGCTGCTGCTGCTGTTGATGAAGAAGGAAAAGAAAGCAAAGCAGAGTTTCATTCTACGCATGCAGTGCTGCAGCAGCTGCCGCGCTGGTGGCTAACGACCTTAAGGCCTCCTGCTGCTAACAGACGCAGCAGCAGCAGCAGCAGCAGCATCAGCAGCAGCAATAGCGCCTGCGCACCTGCAACAGCAGCTGCATCAGCAGCAGTAGGACAGATGCAGCACCTGGGGCTGCTGCAGTATCCTCAAAAGGCTGCAGCAGCACGGCGTCTGCTGCGGCTGCCGTTTGCTGCTGCTGCTGCTCTGCGGTGTATGGGCACATACCAACGTGCAGCCGTGAGACAAATAGCAGCAGCAGCAGCAAAGGCTGCTGCTGCTGCAGCACAGCGGCGGGGAATTATCCTAAGGCGGTTTTATCGCCTTAGGAAGAAGGCTCCTACGACAGCAGCAGCAGCAGCAACAGCAACGGATGCAGAAGCCGGCGAAGCAGCAGCAGGAAGTAGTGCTGCAGTGCAGCGTGCTGCTTCGGGTCAATGGCAACAGCAGACGCAACAAAAGCAGCAGCAGCAGCAGCAGCAGTTGCTGCAGCAGCAGGTGCAGCAGCTGTGGAAGGGCCTCCTCTCTCAGCCCACCGGCTGTTTGGCGCTGCAGTCTGCAGCAAAGCTGCTGCGGGCTCTCCCCCCAGCAGCAGCAACAGCATCTGCACCAGCAGCAGCAGCAGCAGCAGAAGCACCCGCAGACCCCGCAGCAGCAGCAGCAGCAGCACCAGCTGCAGCAGCAGCAGAAGTTAAGGAGCTGATTATGGGGCTGCGCGAACTTGTGCAATCTGTGCGGGTACTACAGAAGGACCCCCGCTCAGCAGCTATTGCTGCTGCTGCTGCTGCTCCTCCTTCTGCTGCTGTTGCTGCTCCTTTTGCAGCTGCTGCTGCTCCTGGTGCTGCTGCTGCTGCTTCTTCTGGTGCTGCTGCAGCAGGGATTTCTTCTATGGCTGGGCGAGCACCGCTGGAGGCTTCAGCAGTGGCGACTGCAGCCGTTGCTGCTGCTGCTGTTGCAGCTGCAGTGGAGAGGCTGCGAGTGCTGCTGCGCTGCATTGCTGCTGCTGCTGTGCGCCGTGCAGTCAGCAGCAAGACAAGGATTATTGCCTCCCTGCATCAGCAGCAGCAACATCGGCAGGTGCTGCTGCTGCTGCAGCAGAAGCAGCTGCTTCCACCTGCCTCACAACTCGCCCGGCGCTTTCTTCTGTACGGTGTATCGTTCTGTTGCTGCTTTTGCTGCTGCTGCTGCTGCTGCTTGTTTGAGAGTCTCGTGCTGCTGCTGCTGCCGCTTCTCTCCGTTGCTGCTATTGCTACTATTCCCCTGCTGCTGTTGCAGCGGTTGCTGCTGCATTTGCTGCTGCTGCTGCTGCTTTCTCCCTTTTTATCCTTGTGTTGCATGCTGGCGCTGCTGCTGCAGTTGATTGCTATTGTTGCTGCTGCTGCTGCTGCTGCGTTTGTTATTTTTTGTTTCCTTAGCGAAGCTGCTGTCTCCTTCTCGTGGCCGTTTGTCTCTGTCCCCAAGCTGGTCTTGCTTCCAACCAGCAGCAGCAGCAGCAGCAGCAGCAGCAGCAGCAACAGCAGCAATACCAGTAACACTGACAGCAGAAGCATCAGCAACATCATCAGCAGCAGCAAGGACTGGCAGCAGCAAGTGCAGAGTTTCTGTGCAATATCTGCTGCACTGCAGCAGCTGCTGCAGCAGCAGGTTATTTTTATCGTTGGGGGTTATTCCTACTGTCTCTCTCGCGTTTGCTGCAGCATTTTGTCTCCTTGCTGCAGCAGCACAGGCTCAGGGGTACATCTACTAGCAGCAAATCCAATCGATGTTTATATTATTGTTAATTTCTTGTTTAGGGTTTAATGATTAGGGTTTAGGGTTTAGGGTTTAGGGTATGTGAGTTTACGGTGTATGGTTTAGTGTTTATGGTTGAGGGTTTAGGGTCTATGGTTTAGGTTCTAGGGTTTAAGCTCTAACTTTTAGGGTTTAGGGTTTAGGGTTTAGGGTTTATGTACGGTGGTTGTTCAGGTGTATGGGCAGATGCCGCAGCCGTTGCTGCTGCAGCAGAAGCGTTTGCTGCAGCAGCCCTGTCGCGGTATTTTTCTTGTAGGGTATCCTACAGTTAAGTCACCGACTCCTTATCTTTATTCTGTTTTGCTGCAGCAGCAGCAGCAGTATTTGCAGCAGCAGCAGCAGCAGCAGCAGCAGCATTTGCAGCAGCAGCAGCATGTGCAGCAGCAGCACGTCTACACGGACTTCTTCCCTCCGCTAAAAGAACAACATCATTATCTTTCGCTGCAGCAACAACTGCAACAGCTGCAGCAGCATCAGCAACAACAGCAACAGCAACAACAGCATGCGGAGCATGCGCTGCTTCTTCAGTTGCAGCAGCAGCAGCTGCAGCAGGAATTGCAGCAGCTGGAAGCAGAGTTCGCGTACTGGGCGCAGCAGCTGCTGCTGCACCATCGCTATTTATTTGGAGGTGCTTCAATAACAATTCCTTTTAAAGAGCTGTCTCTCGGTTTAGTAGATAAAGCAAACTCTTCAGCTGCTGCAGCAGGAGCCGTGAGGATAATATTTATGCTGCTGCTGCTAATGCTGCTGCTGCTGCTAATGCTGCTGCTGCTGCTAATGCTGCTGCTAATGCTGCTGCTGCTGCTAATGCTGCTGCTGCTGCTAATGCTGCTGCTGCTGCTAATGCTGCTGCTGCTAATACTAATGCTAATGCTGATGTTAATGCTGCTCCTGCTGCTGCTAATGCTGTCCGTTTGCTTTCCGGTGCTGCTGCAGCTGCTATTTTTCGTTGTCTCGCTGCTGCGTTTGCTGCTGCTGCTGCTCACTTGCTTTCCCTGCTGCTCTGCTGTTGCTGCTGCTGTTTCGTTTGCTCTGGCATCTGCAGTACAGCATTTGCTGTTGCTGTTGCTGCTGCTCCTGCTGCTGCTAGGGTGGTAGCTGCAGCTCTGTCTCTGTTGATTCTTCTTGTTGCTTTTATATTGTCTGTCTGTTGCTTCTACTTGGTGCTGCTTACTGCTGCTACTGTAACAGCAGCAGCAGCAGCAACAGCACGATCATCACCAGCGCAAGGAGTAGCAGCAATAGCAGTAGGAGGAGCAGCAGTAGCAGCAGCAGCAACATGTTTGTTTTGCTGTTTGCTGCAGGTAAACTCTGTCTTTTGGAGTCCATCTGGGACCCTCCTCGGTGCAAATACAGATGCATATGCAATTAAAGAAGCTCTTAGAAGACATAAACAGGTATGCTGCAGCAGCAGCTGCTGCTGCAGCAAGGGCAGCAGCAGCAGCAGCAGCAGCAGGGACAGAAGCAGCAGCACTACCAGGAGCAAGAACGGTAGTTGTACAGAAGTTGTAGCAGCAGCAGCAGTAACAGCAGTAACCAGTAGCAGCTTCAGCAGCAACAGAAGGAGCAAGCAGCAGAAGCAGAAGCAGAAGCAGCAGCAGCAGCAGCAGCAGAAGCAGGGCAAGCAACAGCTGCAGATGTAACACCACTAATGAGCAGCAGCAAAACCAGCAGAAGCATCAGCATCAGCAACAGCAGCAACAACAGCAGCAGCAGCAGCAAAGAGCAGCAGCAGAAGCAACAACACGTCTCTTACTGTTGCCATTAGCAGCTCCTACTTGCTGCTGCTGCTGCTGCTGCTGCTGCTAGTTGCAAAAAGACTTTTAATATTTCCTTTGTATATCTACACCTCCTTTGTGCATGCAGAGGAGAACCTGCTGCTTCCTTTGGTGTACGTACGCACCCGAGATTTGCTGCTCCTGCTGCTGCTGCTGCTGTTTGTGCTGCAGCCAGAGGACGTGTGCTGCATTTTGCTGCTGGGGGCCGGGGGAACAGCCAGGGCTGCGCTTGCTGCAATATCGCAGTGGTGCAGCAGCAGCAGTAGCAGCAGCAACAACAACAACAGCAGCAGCAGCAAGAGCGGCAGCAGCAGCACCATCAACGGCAGCAGCAGCACCACCATCACCACCATCAACAGCAGCAGCAGCAGCAGCAGCAGCAGCAGCAGCAGCAGCAAATGCTGCTGCAGCAGCAAAGGCGTACGGGTTTTAATTCTTAACCGTACTATAAAAAGAGCAGAAACACTTGCAAATGAATTTGACGCTGAGGTCGTCACCTCTCTTGAAGCCTTAAAGGGAGCCCACATCGACGTCATCGTAAACCCTAAACCCTAAACCCTAAACCCTAAAACCGCGCTTCTTTAGTCTAGATTGCAAGATATATATACATATATATATATGCGTTTGTATTACTACTATGTCATTATATTTATTGTTGTATTATATATTTTTATTTACCCTTCTATGTATATATTTATACTTATTTCATTATATAATAGATATAAACATTTGAATTTATTGTAATATTTTTGCTGTGTACGTACAGATAAATGTGAGGCCTCCTTCTGTCTCTTTACCTTCATCTTTTTCTGCTTTGTTTGTTCGACGTCCTCTGTTAATTGAATTAGTTTACTCTCCTCCATTAACGCCTCTTCTAAGCCAGGTTTGTTTTTATATTTAAAACAATAAAACAATCAAATATTATTGTCTTATATTTAAATATAAATATAAATATTAATATTAAGTTAAGCATAAATATAAATATAAATATAAATCCATATACAAAATATTAATATTAATATTAATGTTAATACACACATTTGTATATATATATATGTATATATAATATATATATATATATATATATCATAAATATAATATTTATTTATTGAAGAAGACGGCAGTTGCTCAATAATTCAAAAACAAACAAAGAAAAATAAAAAAGAGAAAAACGAAACAGCAGAAAAATAAGAAAGGGTTTTGCATGCAAATATATTTTTTTATGTTTGTCTTTTTTGTTTTTGTTTATTTGTCTATTTTTGCTCGTTTTCATTTGATTTGTTTGTTTTGTTTGTTTATAGAATAACTATTATGTTTATTTCTTTCTTGTTATTATTATAACAATTTAACTAATATTTATATTTCTTGTTTTTGTGTTTTGTTTGTTTATAGAATAACTATTATGTTTATTTCTTTCTTATTATTATAACAATTTAACTAATATTTATATTTCTTTTTTTTGTGTTTTGTTTGTTTATAGAAAGATGCAGGGAACTGTCTTTCAGTCTGTGGGCTGGAAATGTTTTTTTTGCAAGCGCGCATGCAGAGCGAGTTATTGATGAAAGGTTTAAAGATAATTTTTTTAAAAGAAGCAGCAGCTTCTTGCATATATAATAATGAGTGGATGTGCATGAAACAAATACTTATGAAGCCTTTTAAAGCAGAAGAAGAAGATGTATACACGGTAAATGACAAAAAGTATAAATTATATATTCTTGTTTTTTTTTTGTTTGTCTTCTTTTATTAAAAAGATGCATTTAAATTACTTTTTTAATATTGTTTTTCTCATTGCATACACTAGCCCTACTCTTCTTCCTCTCCTTTATTTATTTCTCTTTTGCTTGGTGTTTCTTCGTAAACCCTAAACCCTAAACCCTAAATTAGTGTTTTGTGTTTGTCTTGTTATTTCGCTTAAACTCTAAACCCTAATTTGCTCTGTTTGTGTTCGTTTTGTCTTCATTCCTAAACCCTAAAACCTAAAAGTACATTTTGCATTATTCTTATGTTGCTTTTCATAAACCCTAAACCCTAATTTATCTCTACCTGCCAACCCATAAACCCTAAATGTATACATCTATATATATATATATATATATATATGCGTTTATATATTAATATTTATTTATTTATGTTCATTTATTTACTTTCATTTATTTATTTAGTTAGTTGTCTTGTAATCTAATTCCTTAACCCTGTTGTTTGTTTCTTTTGCTTTATTTATGCATATCTCCGCAATCCTTTAAGAATTACTTTTAAGTTTAAAAGTATATTACTATTAGTAATAATAAGAATAATAATATTTATTTATTTCTTTTATTTGCTTCTTTTTCTTCCTTTAGGAACAAACATTTCTAGATGAAGGTCTTGAGGGTTTTTCTTCTTTTTGGGGTTTTGCTGTTGAAAAAGTTTTAAACTTTTATGAAAATTTATTCAAATTCAAACCCCGCATTGACAGACAGGCCATTCTATAAATTATATATATATATATATATGTATATATATATAGATATATATACATTTCTTTTTGTTGTCATAGACATATAATATGTATGCTCATACATACGCAGTTATGAATACATGTATATATGTGTATGTATGTGCGTGTGTGTATGTATTATGCATATATATATATATATAAATGCATGCACGCTTGCATGCATTTGACACTGGAGAGGAGCATCGAGGCTTCCTCTGTTTTGTTTTCTGTTTTTTTAACTAATCTTAAATTATATTTATTTCTCGAGTATTTGCAAGTTAAGCAAAGTATAGAGGGAAGTAAAATGATAAAAAGAGAAAATGTTTTCTCAAGTTGCGTTCACTGAAAGCCCAGCAACTCAGACAAATCTTCTTGCCTAAAGATATAACTCTTCAGTTTATCTAATTTGCACATTATATATATATATATAATCTCTATCTCTCTCTCTCTATATATATATATATATATATGTTGGATGCAACAACTTTTATCTAAAGACTTCTGCACCTTATTTAATAAGCGCTATTGTTATTCTATTTCTACTAAATAAATAGGTATTATAAATATATATCCATATAGATACGTTACGTGTATATATATACAAATAAACATAACTAAAATAAACACAATCTCTTGCAAAACTTTTTATAAATTCGAAAAAACTTATTTCTCTGTCTGCATGTAAACAAGCAAAACCCTTGTAAGCATGCAAACAACCTCGCATGCAAACAACCAGTTCAGAATGTATATGCATGAATAACATACATGCGTGCATGCATGTATGCATGCATGTGCATGAATAACATGGATGCACACAAGAATGCATGCAAATGCATGCATACATGCATATGCGTAGGAATGCAGTTGCATGCAAAAATGCATGCACATGCATAGGCATGCAAAAATGCATGCATGCGAACTTGCATGCATGCAAATGCCTGACTGCATGCAACGAACGGCCTTCCGCGTAAACTGCCATCCGGAAATTCTCCTCTCCGCAGACGGGGAGAGACTTCATGCATGCATACGCATGCATGCATATGCATGCATGCATATGCATGCATGCATATGCATGCACGCGTATGCTTATATACATAAGTAAGTTGCACGCGTGCATGCATTAGAATGAATAATGTGCATGCATGCATGCATATGTATGAATAAGATGCACGCAAGCAAACCTACATGCATGCATGCACATACACGCATGCATAATGCATGCATGCGCGCATGCATGCATGCATGCTTCTGCATAGCACTGGCGATTTTGTTTGTTTTTCCCTCTGTACTGCATTTGTAAAAGGAATTGACAATGATAATGCATTTGTACTATTGCTGTTTTTATACGAAAACAAAAAGCATGCATGCATGTATGCATGCATGCATACGATAGACCCCAAACACTTGTACAGGATGCATGCACGTGACTCAAGCTTTAATAAACCATTTTATCTAACTGACGGTGCAGCAGCTCCTCTCTTATTCCCATCTGCTGCTGCTGCAGCTGATCCTGCTGCTGCTATTTCCCTCTTGCTGCTGCAGTTACTGCTACAGCTACTCCCGCTGCTGCTTTTGCAGCTGCTACTTACTTCTTCCTGCTGTGGCTGCTGCTGCTTTTTCTTGCTGCTGCGCCTGAACAGGATGCTGCTGTTCATCCTGTCATTTCTTTGCTGCTCTTGCTGCTGTTGCTTTTGCTGCAGCTGCTCTAGCTGCTTCCCTCTTGCTGCTGTTTCTGTCCACTGGCTGCAGCTCCTGTTGCAGCTCCTGCTGCACCTGGTGCTGCAGGCACTGGTGGAACTGCTGCTGCTGCAGCCGCAGCAAGGCTTGTATATTTACTAGCCCTGCTGCATGAATATATTTTTGTTTATCTGTCCTATAAAAATATTTTCGTTTACCCATAGAGAGGGCTTCCCCCTCCAAGTGTATAGGCAGGTTCTTCGTTTTCATCATCTGAACTCCATCGACCCCATATACTGCATGCGTTGTCATTGATGTTTCTGCTGCTGTTGCTGTTGCTGCACCCTGCAGCAGCAGCGGCAGCAGCAGCAGCGCATGCAAGCTCTCCCCCAACTCGTTCTATTTCAAACAGCACGGGATACTGTGCAAACTTTTCGGGTTTTCTTCTTGCTATTGCATGTAGCTGTTCAAGCAAAGAAGAAATAACGCAAACATCAACACCTGCAGGTAATTCCTGCTGCTCTACAAAAGGCCAAAACGCATGCAAATAAGGAAGCACCTCCCCCCAACAACGATGTTGCTTACGCTGCTGCTGCTGCTGCTGTTGCTGCTGCTGCTGCTGCTGTTGTTGCAGCTGCTGTTGAAGCTGTTCCTGCTCCTGTTCCTGCTGCTGCTGCTGCTGCTGCTGCTGTTGCTCCTGCTCTTGCTGTTCCCCTGCTGCTGCAGCAGTAGCATCAGCAGGTATTTGCAGAGCGAGTATAGAGGTTGTTGATGCCTCTAATCGGAGTTCACTCAGGTTCTTTGCCGGCAATGCTTCTGCTGCTTCTGCTGCTGCTGGTGCTGCTGCTGCTGCTGCTGATGCTGCCGGTGTTCGGGTATCTGGACCCCACAATTTTGCATGCACGACTTTATCCCTGTGCTGCTGCAGCGCTACGCATCGTCTCCATTTATCTTCACGAGAGTAATGCAGTCTCTTTAATACAGCAGCAATTAGGGTGTCTAGGCAGATCAACAAGACTGAGCGCAGCATTAATCTAGTTTTCTGCGGTAAGCACTGCAAACAGAACTCAAAATTACTGCAGCGCAGCAAATCAAGACAATCATCGCATGCAGCAGCAAAGCAGCACTTGCAATTATAAATCGTTTCTCCTACAACCTTCACTCCCCTGCTGCTGCTGCTGCTGCTGCTGCTGCTGCTGAATCCGTGCAGCGGTGCCTGTGAATACTTTCTTCCGCCTTCTATTAATGCAAGCTCTACTGCAGATACACCGCAACTTAAAGGGGACCCCTCTCCCTCTCCTCCTGAATAAATAATATCTTCAATTGAAACACCCCACTGAAATTTTCTTCGCTTTCCCACTGCTAAACGCCTTGAGCGACGTCTGGTGCTTCTTCCCTATAAATAAACAAAAACAAAAATAAAACAAAAGAACTCATAGTCATGCACTTGTCTTAAAATATATATATATATATATTCGTATTTGCATGCAATAAACATACTCTCCCCCATTCATTCATTCATCCATATATATATATATATAGACATATATATATTAATGTGTATATCTATTCGCATATATATATATATATATATATATTTCTCTTCATGCTAGAACTTCCTTTTGTGCCGCTTGCTGCATGCACACTGTGCGTTTATTTTTTTAATTATTACTACCATTACTATTGACTATCCTGTCTAAAACGCTCGTCTGCCGGAGTTAGGGTGTAGGGTATAGGGTTTAGAGTTTGGTTGCATACAGGCATGAGTGCATCAAAGATATCATTATCTTCTAAGAAATCGCTTCGCTCTGCAGCAGGAGAAGAAGCTGCTGCATTGTTTTTCTCTATCTCTGCATTAAGCCGGAAAGATAAAGTGCTTTTATTCTGTTCATAGGGGCCCCCCTCAGCAGCAGCAGCAGCAGCAGCAGGTGCGGGGGAAGAGGGCCCCCGAGCTGCATACATACGCTTGCGGATTACACCCTCCATATTTGCTGCATTTTCTGCAGGCAGCAGCAACCTGCTGCTGTTGTTGTTGCTGCTGTTCACAGTGTCCCCCAACATAGCCTGAGCAGCAGCAACAGCAGCAAAGGCAACAACAGTAATACAAACAGCAGCAGCAGCAGCAGCCGCAGCTACAGGAACAGCGCAAGCAACGCAGAGCGCAGCATTTATAATTACATATATGTGCAATAACACAGACGTGCTCCCCACATACTTAATGTACATATAGATGTATATTAAGATGAATCTCATATATATGTTTATACATATAATATATATACGCATACTTACAGAACGAGAATATTAAAATAGGCTTTCATATTGCATATACGCATATTATATATATAATCTATATTTTTGTATATACTTATATATCTATATATTTATTATGTAGACCTAAGGGCAACAAAATAATATATCTTCCTGTTATCAAGAAAAAACACTTTATTTAAAAGCAAAAGACAAACCTGAGAAGGCCTGAAGTACTTCAACGCCTCCTCTTCCCTCCCCGTCCTCGTAGGCGTGCGAATGCCGTCCTCTGCAAGAAAACCCTCGCACAAACCCTAAACCCTAAACCCTAAACCCTAAACACTGATCAAGGGCATGCAGAAAAGAATTCAACGCTCATCAGGAAATGCACTTATTATATGTTAACAAATATACCTGCTGGATTCCTCCAAGGTGTGAATGTCTCTTTAGGTAAATCAAGGCCAGAAGAACAATCCTAAAAAAACAAACAAACAAATGTGCATGGTGTACAGACAGCTCCACTCTCGTCAATCCTCATTCTTCATCACTATATATATATATATATATATTATACATACAGAAGCACATATATAAATATATATATATATACATATTTGTGTAAACCAACGTGTGTGTACATGCATATAAACGCTGCTGCTGCTGCTGCTGCTGCTGCAGCGTTTGGAGAGAGTATTGATTCGAGGAGACAGCAAAACGATGCACGAATTTGTCTTAAAAAGTTATACTTCACTAGGAGGAGAAAGAGGGAGACGAAACAAAACAAACAAAACAAACAGCTGAACGCAAACAAGAGGTAGAAAAGAAAAGCAAACAAACAAACAGACAAAAAGAAGAGTTGCATCTCAACCTAAAAGGGGTGATATAAACAAAAAACAAAACAAGCAAACAAACAGAAGAAACAAACAAGGGAATGAAAGATTAAACAAACAAACAAACAAGAGGAAGAGACGAACAAACACATAAAAGAGAAAGAGAAAAATAAATAAATAAAGAATAGACAAACACACCAGCAAGACGGGCCTCGCTCCTTCCACTGGCTTTATAATATGCGACGAGCAAAAACGCAAACCTGCGAACAAAAACAAAAAATAAATTTAACTATAAATGAAAGAAGAAAATAATGAGAAGCTTTATGTTCTCTATGAAATGCATTAATTATCTTTAAAAATTAATCATAAAAAGCAAACCATCTCCCGTTTCCTCGTATTGCTTTGTATGCCGCATATATGTACTATAATATACACATACAATTATATATACGTTTGTGTACAGCCACAGCAGCAGCAGCAGCAGCAGCAGCAGCAGCCGCTGAAACCCCAGTACAGTGTGTGTTTTCTGTTTATCTTATAAACAACTAACCAGCAGCAGCACCAGCAGCAGCTGCAGCAACACCACCACCAGCAGCAACAGAAACAGCATCAGCAGTAGTAACAGTAGCACCAACCTCAGCAGCAGTAGCAGCACCCGCACCAGCAGCACTACCAGGAGCAGCAGCAGCAACAGCAGCAGGAAAGCGGCAAGCGACCCAAAGGAGTATAGACAGCAGACGAAGTATGAAACCACTGAATAAATGCTTCTTTCTTGTTTTTTTTGTTTTGTCTGTCTTACATGCATCATAAGCTTTAAAGATGCATCCGTCATACATCTTCGCGGTAAATGTCTTGGCTCTCTTTGCTCCTGTTGCTTTATCCCTAAACAATGCAAACCATCTGAAGAACAAAACAAAAAAAAAGAGAGAAAAAGAATATCAATGCAGCACTAAACAACAGCAACAATACAGCACAACAGCTACAACAGCAGCTGCACCAACAACAACACAAATAATCGCAGTAACAAACAATCAACCACCAGAAAAAACCAAAGAGGGTTTAGGCCACCCATATACATATATATATATATATATCTGCTTATATATGTATATATATATATGTTTCTGTCTATTATATATTCATAAAAATATATGTACATATATACATATATATATATATGATGCACATGAACACGAGGAACTGAACTGTATGATTATACACATACAAGTATATACAAACATACATAATATATATATATATTCATATATATATACATGTGCGCAGGTATATCATATGCTTATACATATATATATATATTATAATATATATACAACTATATGAAAATGTTGTTGGTTATGTTTAATATATAATTACCTGAATGTGGATTTATCGAAGCGAATGCCAGGGGGAAAAGGCCCCAAAGCCTCTGCAAGGCGAATTGCATCTTTAGGTGTTTTCTCTGGGTTAACTGGTGTTTGTATACCGAGTGTTTCTAAACGAAAAAGACTTAAACGATGAAGGGCTTCACCTACTCCAGGGCAAGAGCCTGTTCCTAAACCACCACCAACCCCACCTCCAGCTGTAGCTGCAGCAGCAGCAGCAGCACCAGATGCTGCTGATGCTGCTGTTGCTGGTGAGGGTGATGGTGCTGAAGGAACAGAAGCAGGAGATGCACCAGGTGATAAAATGCATGCTGCTGACGGAGACGCTGCCGCTGCTGCTCCTGAGAGGTCTTCACTGGAGACACCACAAGGGCTGGCTCTGGGAGACAGTGCTGCTGCTGCTGCTGAAACAGAAACTGCTGCTTCTTCTGCTTTGCTGCCTCTTACAGCATCTTCCCGCTGTGTTAATAGCTGCCCCAGGCCCTGCTGCTGCTGCTGCTGCGCCTGCATCTGCTGCACCTGCTGTTGCAGTCTATAGTTCGGATGCTGCTGCTGTTGCTGCTGCTGCTTGCTGCCTGCAGCACCGCCCCCAAGTGCACTATCTCTGTCTTCTGGGAATGTGTCCTGCAGCAGCAAAAGTAGCAAAAGTATTCACCTCTTTCCTTCTATTCTCACTTGTAATAAACACAAAAAGACAACATGAATGTATGCATGCATTCCTCCACGTACAGACAATTTACCTCCCGGCGGGGTGTATGTACACACCTTCATTCTGCTTGCAATTTTGTTCGTTCTCCGCATGCATGCAATTTCATTCATATATGCTCATCAATACGTACAGATGAACTCCTCCTCTATATATATACTACGCATATACACAACACTGGGGGTTATTACTGATATATTTCACTCATACAAGTACGTACATAAATACGTGTATATATATGTATATATACATATATATATATAGATGCATCAATACAAACACATGCATGCATGTAAAGACATATATGTACATACAATATATATATATATATATATATATATATACATATATATATATATATGACAGCTATGCATATATATATAATGCATATGCATATGTACGTCTACAGAAAAGTATATACACAGGAATTTCACATGTATGTAAGAACATATATATATATATATATATATGTTACCTGTGGTTTTCTCTTCGACTTTTGCGGTCTCCCTCTCTGGAGTGCAGAGACAGCTGAGCCCTCTTCTTTAGCAGCTGTCTGCGCCGCATTGTTTGACTGAACCCCCGACGAAGCCTCTGAGGTTTTTTCTAAAAAGAAGAGAGAAAGAGACAACAGAAAGATGCACTTGCATGCACTAATCAATACATATGGTACATATTATACATACATATAAACAAATACATAATATACATACATGCATATATTTACAAATGCATGCAAATGAAAATACAGCGCACACAGCTGGACGAGCGGCAAGTATATATATATATATATATATATATATACAGCGAATGAGAAGAAGACAGAAGAAAGAACATGAAAAAGACGACGACGTAAAAGAAGAAGAGGAGAAAGAGGCAGAAGTACAGCAACAGCACCAAACCACCACCAGCAGCAACCAGCAGCAGTAAAAGTAAAATAATAATTATAATTATTAAATATTTTGTCTCTCACCAGCTACAGAGACCTTCGGAGTTAGTAAATGGTCTCTTCGCGTTTGCACTGCCAGTTCATAGCCCCGATCAAACCCAAACTTGTGCACGGGAAAATACAACTTCTTTGTCCCGCTCTTCTTTGCAACCTGAAACATAAACCCTAAACCCTAAACCCTAAACCCTAAACCCTAGATAGCCCGAAATAACCCTAAATAACCCTAAATAAATCTGCGCAACACTAAATAAGCCTAAACCCTTAACAACCCTAAGCCCCAAATCTGAAGATTCAAACCCTAAACCCTAAGCCTGAAACCCTAGACCCTAAACCCTAAAGCTGAAGCCTTAAACCCTAAACCCTAAAGCTGAATCCTTAAACCCTAAACGGTAGAACTGAAGACTTAAACCCTAAACCCTAGCCCCTAAACCCTATGGGTAAACCCCTATCAGGGGGAATAAACCCTCAAAGAAATACACATCAACCAGCGAGTTATACTCTGCATACTCAACTACGAAGACAAACTCTTAAAGGCATAAAGGGAAACAGACAAGGAGAAAGAAAAGAAATACAAATACATACGTCGAGTATATATGTATATAAAATATATATATATACATATATATATACAGAGAGAGAGAGAGAGACAGAGAGACAGAGAGACACAGAGAGAGCGAGAGAGCGATAGATACACAAACACACGTGCGTATATATATATATATATATATATATATATATAGAGGGAGAGAGAGAGAGAGT